GAGATCCCTCCCAAGGTCGAAATACTGATCTTTATGCAAGCGATGAGCCACAATAACGTGGCTGATGTATGTTGACCAGACCACACACTAGAAAGTGAAGGGACGACGACGTTTCGGTCCGTCCCGGATCATTCTCAAGTCGATTGTGAGACTTGAGAATAGTCCAGGACGGACCGAAACGTCGTCGTCCCTTCACTTTCTAGTGTGTGGTCTGGTCAACATACTGACCCTTCCCAGGATGTAACAACCCCCCTCCTTCCTCCAACTAGCTGACTAACTCCCGGATACCTATTTACCGCTAGGTTAACAGAGGCATAAAGTAAAAAGATTTTTGCATAAATAGCTTTGTCCCGCTCGAAATTAGAACCCGGGCTTCCTGATTGAAGTGAGAATGAACCCAACTGACTGCCGATACCCAAAATGTTCTTCTCTGTTGGGCTGCGACCCGTCTGCTACGTTCTGTTGCTACCTGTCTGCTGTGTTGTGTTCCTGTCTTCTGTGTTATGCAGAAAAGTCAAATATGAATTCACAATAAAACAGGAAAAACTGCTTGGATTAGGAAGTGTTGCCAAACTAGCATTACAGGAAAATGTTGATATTACCAAAGCCGAAGTAAAAAATCACTATATTCAAATAGAAGCAGAGAATAAGTCACCATAATGAGGTTGAACACAATCGAGCCACACTTATGATAAGCAAGGAAAGGGACGGAATTTCGGTCCATCATTGATAGGGGAGTCCTAGACGAACCGAAACGCCTTGGATGTTAAAGTGAAAGGGAAGTGTGAGTGCCACAGCGAAAGGGGGTCTGTCTGTCTGTCTGTCTGTCTGTCTGTCTGTCTGTCTGTCTGTCTGTCTGTCTGTCTGTCTCTCTCGATTTCTTAAACCTCTACGCTCCCTTCCTACATTTACAATTCCTCCTTCTCCATCCTTACTCCATACCACTGCATAACCCCCCCTCCCTTCCCTCTGGTTCTCTCAACTCCCTCCCAAGACCCACAATGCAGTGACCTTTCCCGATCCCTCGCCGCTGTCACGAGGTTGTAAAGTTCGGTGGGGATGTCAGCTGGCTTGCACACCACCACCACCTTCAGCGCACATCATCACAACATCCACCACCACACACTACAACCACGCACTACCACCTCAACCACAATACACCGCCATAACCACTATCTCCACACACATCACAACCACGATAAAGTTCCACACAATAAATTTCCATACAAACTTGGTAGTCAATTAGGTATAACCGCGTGAGTGTTACATTGAATAAGGGAATACATCTGATAAGAAAACAAGGGTTACTATGAAAGAATAGGTCTCACTCGTAGACTGGTCTATAATAGGTATGTAATCTGTAACAACCATAATGGTCTGTAATAGGACTTGTGCTTTTCCCTTGCATACACAATGACATCAATTAAGATGGTAGGATTGAAGATTACAATCCTCTTCAATTAAGACTGAAGAGGATTGTAAAGAAATAATATAATACGTGCAGAAACTTAGGGTATGGTCGTATACTACTACAATACGTATGGCTACTAGATTTCAACCCAAATAAATACAAGGTAATGAGAATTAGGACCGGAGCAATACAAAATTAATAGGAAAGGACTCATCAGAACGATGAAAGATAGGTACCTGGAGGCGATGAGTCACAATAACGTGGCTGAAGTAATAACGTGACAATCGACTTGAGAATGGTCCAGGACGGACCGAAACGTCGTCGTCCCTTCAATTTCTAGTGTGTGGTCTGGTCAACATAGGTACCTGGATGTAGATTTAACCCCCAAGCTCAGTGCCAGAAGCTCAAATACACATAACATCAGCGGCATATGCCAGGCTGGCCAACATACGAACGGCAATCAGAAACTTGTGTAAAGAATCATTCAGAACTTTGTATACCACATATGTCAGGCCAACTAGGTGAGTACAACTAGGTGAGTACATAAGTAAGATCATCAACTGATGCAAAATTGATGGACATAAGAGTAGCATTTAGGAACCTTTCGAGAAAGGCCTCGGAGCATTGTACATGCCACGTGAGATCATTGTAAAACATGACGTCCCAGTATTTAACTTCGTCCAAGTGGTTGGGCACCATTCCTTCCACCCGTCCTATCCCAAATCCTTATCCTGACCTCTTCCAAGTGTTATATAGTCGTAATGGCTCGGCGCTTTCTCTTGATAGTTCCCTCCCCCCTCTGTAATGATACATAAAACCAACACTGAAATCCAGAGGTATTCAATGAGGATCTTACCAGAACTACGATGATTAAACTATAGGAAAATCGTGTAGGAACTCAATTTCACCACATTTGAAGACAGACTCGAAGAGACATGATAATGACATATAAGATACTCAATGGTAACTGATAAGCTTGATAAAGACGATACATTCAGTATAATGTAGGATACAACAAGGAGACCTGGATGAATATTTGAAGCGTAGATTGTTAGAATGAGCTTATTTAAGCGTAGTATAAGTGAAGAAATTAAATGTAATAGAGGAATAAATAGTAGAAGCTATTACGATATTTTATATCTTGATATGACAAGAAACAGTAGAGTTGTGGATCCCTGCACGAGTGGACACCTGACAGCACGTTTAGGTAAGCACACCATCACACCTCCTTACTCTGCTCCAGACCTACCACCATCACCACCACACTACATCACTTACTCTGCTCCAGACCTACCACCATCACCACCACACTACATCACTTACTCTGCTCCACACCTACCACCATCACCACCACACTACATCACTTACTCTGCTCCACACCTACCACCATCACCACCACACTACATCACTTACTCTGCTCCAGACCTACCACCATCACCACCACACTACATCACTTACTCTGCTCAAGACCTACCACCATCACCACCACACTACATCACTTACTCTACCACCATCTACTACCTACCACCATCACCACCTCAATTACAGAAATATTAACAAAGTCACCTGATCGTCATATCAACCCTCTCTTCCTCGTCCTCCTCTCACAACCTTATCCACCATCAACCCCATTTCCCCTCAATCCATTACCTATTCCCCTATCGTTCTTCCCCATCACCCCATCTACCGGCTCCCCACGGCAACACGTGACGTAACACGCAAGCTAATTGTCCCGGCCCAAGTCTTCCCCTGATGCACGTTGTCCTCAGAATTCTTGTGTGATAATTCAGACCCCCACACACGACCTACCTGTAATAAGCCAGGCAATTTTATAATTTAAAGTCATAATTTTATGTAATTTTGTAACAAGACTATAATATTAATTATATATATAATAATTAACTAAGATATAGTTTATTAACTAAGCTTATTAACTAAGAGCTTATTATTAAATTAACTAAGCTCCACAATTAAACAATGCCCTCCATCTCTCGTTGTGCAGTTTGGGCACAGTTTTTCAGCAAGCAGGCGATGAGTCACAATAACGTGGCTGAAGTATGTTGACCAGACCGCACACTAGAAGGTGAAGGGACGACGATGTTTCGGTCCGTCCTGGACCATTCTCAAGTCGATTGTGCACTAGGATTTTCAGCAAATCCTGGTGCATGCTGGAGCCTCGATGAGCCTACACATGTGAAATAAAGCTTGAATGATCTCCAAGCCATAAATCACTTAGTAACACTACCCACTAGTGATCCCCACCCCTCCACCGCCCTGCTGTCTGGTCAACACTAACCTCGCGTGTGAGCGAACGATCAATACACCAGCATGGTATCAATAACTCACTGTGGTCTCACGGTATATATTTTTTCCAGCGAAGTATACGTCTTTTCTTACAAATTATCGTGTCAGTTCGTAAGAAAATGAGTTTAAGAAAAATCCTTGCTTATGTTAAGACCGAACACGTGGATGGAGCTGAAATGCATCGCTGTATTACCATTCACGGCAGAAGTAATGTTGAAATGCGTTACTCTATCAGAGGGACGGGTTGGATTAGGCATGACCCAGATGAGAGGAAAGATAATTTCCGATTGGCTATCGTTGTTGTGGTTGTTTAAAATTCAGCTACTAGGAACAAAAAGTTCCAAATAGCACGGGCTATGGTGAGCCCGTAGTGGACTTATCTGGCACAGGAGCGGGGCTGTAACTGGATTCATTGGGTACCTTGGAGCATCCATAATAACTAACAGCACTGGAACAAACCATGAAGGAGAGGTGAAAGCTGTATGAGGTCCCATCGAGTGCGGGCAGCTTTGAGCATTAAGAAGAGTAACAAGTAACCATCTTATATTACAGCCTATTCTCAAAACATTGAGCGGATACTCATTGTTCCACTTGTACTGATCAGTAGGGCGACAACCTCGCTTCTTGCAGGGACGGTGTTCGACCCCTGAGGGTTGAAGTAGTTGGATATAGTTCCCTCACTCCATCTTCCTGTCCCCCAACTCCTATCCTGTCATCGTATTCCTTCCATGTCAAAACTGCTTACATAGATTTCTGCTCATCACTTCCTCCCCTTTCGGTACTCCAACAACCCATCACCCAGCCCTACTCTTCCAAGCCTCGACCACTAGTACACGCATTGTGTGTGTGAAGTATTTTTCATTCATAGAGACATCGGGAGTAAGGAAATGTGCCCAAACGCCATCCCATGCCTGGGAATCGAACCCAGCAATTGTCGGAATAGAGACGACTGCCCTACCCTAGATCAGTACTACTAGACGAATGTTTTATTTCATAATTTAATTTATAGTTTAAAAACATAAGCATAGTGTTATTTGATTCATTTAACGAGTCGTCCCATTTCCATCTTAGTCCTTGTGGAACTGATTTCGATTTAATGTAGCTAGAATAGGTTAAGATCAGGATAGATTAGGTTAAGGTCCAGCCACGATGCATCATTGATAGGAACTAGGAAACGCGGCGACTATTTGCATAACCCACTTCTCTTTAAATGCATTTAAATATAAGTACAATTACTGTATTAAGCTAATTTTAATAAATCTGTCACTTTTTGCCTTACCTTTGAAAGTGCAGTGAAGATATATTTATTTTTGTTCTTGCTGGCTTGATCCACACTTGAACATTTACTCTCCCACCGGTTTGTCTTGTGTCGAGGCCACATAGGCAGTCCCACTGGCGAGGATCGTGTGGGAGTCGAGGCAATATTGGATTGTCGTTTTTTCCGGTAATAACTTTTGGAATCGAGGGTGTTGTACATTGCATAATTTCTTCATTAAAACGGAAGCTTAGGAGACCAGCTTCAGTAGAATATTTAAAGTACATACACCATAGTTACGTTATTTTGAAACAAAAACACAGTTACGTTACTTTGAAACAAAAGCACAGTTACGTTACTTTGAAACAAAAGCACAGTTACGTTACTTTGAAACAAAAGCACAGTTACGTTACCTAATACAGTGGCGAATGAAGTTGTTACTTAATACAGTAGAAGTTACTTTGATACGCCGAGTGTTTCAAATTACAGATGTTTCTGCAATTACTGGAGTTCAATCAGTAGTTTCTCGGTGGGGAGAAAGCTGCCAGTGAGAGGTTACTCAAAACTTTCCCATTTCACTTTCACTACAGTTATTAATGCAGGTGTTTTGGTGAGCATTTACACCTGTGTGGCACTTGCCCTTCTAATGCTCCACAAATGTTACATAGAGGTTTTTACTTTAAAGTCCCAGACATGTTTCACATATGATAATTGTCTCACAGATGTTCCAAAAATGTCCTTCATATGTCTAACAGATGTCACACAGATGTTGCATGGATGTATATTTTACTTCAGATCTCTGGCCAATCTTCTCTGTTCCTATCTATCCTTCACATGCCTTGTTTCTGTCTTTATTACACATTTCCTGCTCTTCAACTTCTTCCTTACTTTTTCTAACGGAACACGGTAACAGAACACAATTTCTGTTACATATTTCCACCTATTCTGCTTCATCATCTCTCCTCCCTTCCTTCCCTTCATATTTCTTTTCATATCTCAATTTGCACTTTCCCAACTACTTCTTGAGCTCTTGATCGTCTTTCAAATACGTTTCTTCCATTTCTTCTTCTCCTCCTCCTCCCTTTACCTATTCCTCCTCCTCTTCCTCGTCGTCTGCCCTAATTCCGAGCTTAGTGATGCGAGAGAGGACGCTGGAGAGTCTGTGAAAGGCGGTGGAGGAGTGGACAGCCAGCCCCGTCAGGTGAATCACGCTAAGCGACCCGCCCTCCTCCCCCAGCACCACGTTCTGCAGGAGAGGTCGAGAGAGGGCATGTGAGACGGAGGGAAGGGGGGAGATTGAGGGATAGAGAGAGAAGGTAAGACCGAAGGAGAGAGGGAATAACAAACGAATAAGAATAGCCAGATGTTACTTACGATATTAATGAATTGTTTCCCGTCCAATTGTTACACAGAGACGTGATACATTGACTAGTGCTGTTACGTCGCTTTGGCGTAATTTAACAGCTCCAGCTTAACATGTGTGGGTTACGTACCCTGGTACAGAAGCTGAAGGTGGCGCAGGTGGCCCCGAGGCGTGGATTCTCTGTCACCTAATATTACGTACACTATTGGTAGTCTTGCCATTATGTATTAGTATATAGCGTACCCTGGTGTGGGGGCTGAAGGTGACGCAGGTGGCCCCTGGGTGTGGGTAGGTGAGAATGGGCGTGTGGGTGGAGAGAGAGATGTCCCAAAGGTGCAGTCCTCCGCTGTGCACGCCGGCGATAAGGTTACTGTACCAGGGACACCAACACGCGTCCACGTACCCGTCGGGACCTGACAACACCTGGTGTGACGCCCGGGTGTTAAGAGAAGGAGATCGTAGATGTTAAATTGAGAGATCACAGGAGTTAGAGAGATCGCAGGTGTCGGTGCAGCGGATCGCAGGAGCTATGGAAGGGGAAGTTTGGGAGGGGTTAAATACCTGCAGAATGTGTACTAAGTTCAGTATGTACCTGAAAAGAAATGGGGTACTGTACTCAATGGAGAAATTAAAAAGCATGAACTACAGAACCTTAATTAAATCAAACCTCGACTGGGTACCGTTCATGAACCCTTGGCCCTATGATCACACAGCATGGGACCTGGATGTAAAACGCTTGGTGGATCGTGTTCCGGGTTAACTTGATGCTGAATGATCTAATCGATTCCTGTTCCTGGCCTAAGGTAAGGTAATTGTAAAGAGAAAGAACTAAGAGAACTATGACTTAATCTACATAAATAATAATAATAATTATTTATTCCACAACACAGGTTGAAGAGCGTTCGTTCACACTCCTTCACAGACCACAAGTGTCGAGTAAGGATTAAGAGGAGTCGGTTGTATCGTTAGTAAATATGCAGTATGACTAATCGGCTCCGTCGTGTGAGCCTCTTAACCAATCATATACTGTTGTACAGCATAAGTTTGTAAAATGTTTAGCTCTGGAGCTAGACACACATTACATATTGTAGATACAAGTAATATTCCCCTAATAAACTGTATTTGGCTATCGGAATTCATCAGAATCGAACATAGTGGCAGAGCCCAGTCAACCAGTGATCAGCGCTACGATGGCTGGTTTTGGATCATTCCGTAGACAGTAGGCAAAAAGTTTGGTTGTTCATAAGTTGCAAATAACGTCAGTCTGTATTGTAAAGCTCCCAAGAAGCACCAATTATCTAAACAGCCAGTACGTTGTGAAGCCAGATAACAGCTAACAGAAAACATAATGAAATACTACGAAAAAAAACTTGTCCGTACCTGCGGGTTCCTGAGGACGCAGTGTGGCTCCTGCTTGTCCATATGCCATACCCTGATGGAGTCGTCGAGGGCGGCAGAGAGGAAGACGTGGGTGGCGGGGTCGGCTGGGGGCGGCGGACGCCAGTCGAGGGCGGTGACCAGCCCCGTGTGGCCACGGAACACAGCTACGCTCCCTCGACGCTCAAATGTCCGACACTGACAAAGGGAATGAAGCCAGTGTTATATGTGGGATTGACACATGGTGCTGAGGGGACAGGGCGAAGCGAGTGTTGAGTATCGGCAACCCGTCCTCGTATACCAGCCCGTCCTCCAAACAAAGATCCAAAAGTGATTCCATGCACCCGCCAAACCCCCTGTTTATGAATGAAAAGCGGTTTACACACGACCAACCCGTCCTCGACTCAAGTCCATTACATTCAGCGGTCAACCCCACAGACGCATTCATAAATTTTAAGATGCTGTTCATTCAAAACGGGAATTTTCGCAAGTATAAATTAATATTATAATATATTAGCATATTGTGCATATATAGGTATAGGATAGGTTAGGTTAGGTGTTTAGGTTCTGTTGGCGATTATTTGTATTTGTAGTACGTGGGTGAAGCATTTATAGTGTTGTGATTCGAACAAAATTCGTCAGTGAAGCACTTGTTCCGGATATGTTCGAACGTCAGCAGTTGTGAGTCGTGTCAGCCCGTCCTCCAAACAAAGATCCAAAAGTGATTCCATGCACCCGCCAAACCCCCTGTTTATGAATGAAAAGCGGTTTACACACGACTCACAACTGCTGACGTTCGAACATATCCGGAACAAGTGCTTCACTGACGAATTTTGTTCGAATCACAACACTATAAATGCTTCACCCACATACTTCAAATACAAATAATTGCCAACAGATCCTAAACTCTTAACCTAACCTAACCTACGCCTAACATACATAGACTTTTTAAGTATAATATTAATTTATATATGAGAACAAACCAATTTTTAATACACAGTATGTTAAAATGGATGAATGCGTCTGGGGAGGACAGTCGCTCCTTTAAACAGCCAAGAGTGAGGACGGGTTGGTGTGGGAGAGACGCTTGGTGCTGGTGGGAGGGGGCGAGGCGAGTGCTGAGTGTGGGAGTGACACTCAATGATGACAATGAGTACGGTGGGGAGGTTGGGTAGGGGATCAAACTTGTGATACAACACTACTGCTGACGACAACGACCCTTAATGCTGCGTGAAGGCAATTAATTGATATTACCATTAACACACACACACACACACACACTCATCTCTCTAGTCCCAGAGCTGAGAGATATGAGCTACAAGGAAAGGCTACAGAAGCTAAGCCTCATGTTCCTGGAAGAGAGAAGAGTAAGGGGGAGACATGATAACCACCTATACAATTCTCAGGGGAATTTGACAGGGAGGACAAAGACAAACTACTTAGCATGGGTGGAACACGAACAAGGGGGACAAAGGTGGAAACGTAGTACCCAATTGAGTCACAGAGGCATTATAATATTTTTTTCAGTGTCAGAGTAATTAATAAATAGAATGCATTAGGCAGTGATGTGGTGGAGGCTGACTTCTTATACAGTTTCAAATGTAGATATGATAGAGCCCAATAGGCTCAGGAATCTGTACACCAGTTGATTGTCAGTTGAGAGGCGCGACCAAAGAGCCAGAGCTCAACCCCGGTAAGCACAACTAGCTAAGTGAGTACAACTAGTTGACTATACAGCGCTCAGAGGTCGTAGTCCTTAGGGCCCAGGTTAGATTCCAGGCCGAGGCAGAAACAAATGGGTAGTTTCTTTCACCTGATACCTCTGTTTACCTTGCAGTAATTAGGTACCAGGGAGTTAGACAGCTGCTATGTGCTACGTTCTTGAGATAAGCGTGTGTGAGAGAAATAGGCAGTAGATATGATAGAGAAACAAATAGGTCTGGTGTCAGTACATTAGATAACTGACGGTTAGAAAGGCAGGGTCCAAGACCTAACACCTCGATCCTGCAAGCACAAAAAACACAGACACACACACACAAGGAAGGAAGGAATTATCAAGGGGGAAAGCGCCAAGCCATTACGACTATATGGCACACACACACACACACACACACACACACACACACACAAACATAACGACTTCCCAAAGCACTCCACCCACAAGTCCTCCCACCCGCGAACACCCACCATCAGAAGGTGGCCGGCGACGGTGCCCAGGAGATAGGAGGTGTTGTCTCCCGGGCGGAACTTGAGGGCCGTGGCCGGCACGCTCTCCGGTAACAGCTGGCCGTTGCCACCCCTGCTGCTCCAGGGACCTGTAGAGGCAATCCGGCTCTCCTCAGGTCTCCGCAGGACCCCTCCAAGCCCGCCTGCGATCTCCAACGACACCCATGGAGGAACACACACCCTCATCAGTGCTGAAAGATAAATATTATTAAATTATGCTTTTGTAGGTATATGTATTAAAGGAGTGTTTGTATGCCAGTGTCGGTATGTGTATGAAAGATAAGCTCGCACATACAGCTACATTAAGTCAACATTATCCTACTGGCCTACTGGGTTTGTGATCTTGGGCTCAGAGCACCTTGAATGCCTCATGCACACCCTAATCCACAAATGTTTGCTCATCTCTGTCATTCTCTTCTTTCTTTCTACTTCCAATCCTCACTCATTCGTCTCTTATATCTTTCATCCCTCAATCTCCAGTCTATAAATATCGCGTCCTTCCAACTCCCATCCCTCAATCTCTCATCCCTCCAACTCCCATCCCTCCATCTCTCTTCCTCATTCTCCCATCTCTCTATCTCCAGAAACTCTGCAACTCACTAGTGCAACGGATGAGGCTGGTCTTGGAGAAGAGCCACTCCTTGACTGTGCCGTCTTCGGAGGCTGACACCAGGGCCTGAATCCCCACCTTGTGCCACACCTGTATGCAACACACCAACCTTAGTCATCTGGCTTTACACTTGTCTGTTGTATATGCAATAAAGCACGCGTTTGAGAGGGAGGGCCGGGAAAACAGAATATATCTAGAATGACTTGAGGACCACGAGGACGCAATGGGGGTAACAGTGTCAGTGAAGAGACCTGAGAGTTGGTGGTGGGAGCGTGGATGTCGTCGCCAGGTATCTCGTGGTCCTGGTCATCATCAACGCAGCCGTCATCAACGTGGGCGTCACTAGTGTGGGTGTTCTCAGAGCGGGCTGGCATGGTATGGAAGGTCTGGCGCCACTCTACCGCCCACACCGGCGCGCAATGCTTGGCGACGCTGCCGCTAGAGGTCAGTATCAAAACATTAACAATTATCTCTTGCCTGAGTTTAGATGGATATCACTGAACCCTTAACATATTACAGACATTATATAAAAGAGATAGGGTCGTCCAGGTGTGACCATTACCCCAGCTGGTACACTCACCTAGTGTCCATGACCAGCTGGGGGGCGGGGGTATCCAGCTGGTACACCAGCAGTGTACCGTCAAGAAGAGCAACACAACACAGCTGGGGCGCTGCGGGGCAAGAGCTGACCACAGTGGCGGGCCCCGGCAGGGGAACCCTGGGGGAAGAGCGGATGTTACTGGTTGGAACTATTTTCCAGTCTAAAATACAGTACATAAGGTTGATTATACAGGGGCTGGCAGGGAATATAAGGAATTGATGCATCCTTTAACCAGCGTGCTATTTAGATTCAGAAATTCACGTTTTCTTTCCTGAGTTAACAATGTGCAGTCAACACTTTTGTTTATTAAATGAATTATAACTAGTTACAAATAACCAGCATAACCTAATTAATATAACGTAATGAAACCCTCACCTAACCTAACCTAACCAAACTTAACCTAATGTAACATGACAGGGACTTGAGGTCTGAAACTTACGAAATCCCTGACATTGGCATTAGGAAGGTGTACCCCCGTTGATCGGTGAATATTAACTGAGAGTTTATTATTTTCCTGGACAGTGTCCAGGACTAAAGTATTCTTGCTGGTTAGTCAGTAAACACATATATGGCATAAATAACTCACCGAAAGTTTACAGGCCCCATAAGCCCAAAACCCTTATTAGCCCTGAAAATGACAGGCTTAATTTGCGGTATAAGTGCTGACAATTACATGAGCCTTGAGAATGACACGAGTTCTGTCATTGACATGAACCCTGACACTAACAAGGGATATGACCTCTGACCTCTAGCAGTGACTACACCTCTAGCACTGATCTGACCTCTGGCAGTGATCAGACATTTGGCGCTGACCACACCACAGGTACTGACCAGATTTCTGACACTCATTTGAATATTGTTACTGACCTGACCTCTGGCTGACCAATTCTCTTGGCGCTCCAGCCACAGAGGGCGCCTCCAGAGTGGTTGGTAAGGGAGGGGCTGCCATACGCCGCTACAACCAACCACTGCAACAACATACATCAGCAGAAGTTCCACGGTTGTATGAAAGAATATTTAAAACGCCGAGGCAATACACGAATACTTATGAACAGACAAAAAAGAAAATTAAATGATGTATGAATATTAACCCTGTCTATGGAAGACAGACTAGTATGTATATATGACGGTTAGCAATGTAAAATGACTGCAATCACCTGTGGTTGAATGCTCAACCACAGGTGATTGATAACTCTCTACATTATATGATATCTAATATTCATTTATTCATTTAAATATTACGCACCCCGTACTCATCCCGTGGGCGGTGGTGGAAAGGGTAACAGAGGCACAATATGGTTCAGGAACTAAACCCCATTGTTCATTTAGCTAAACAAGTGAGAAATCTTGTGACGCTAGCTACATAATTGTTAATACTAACATATATCTATGTCCACGGAGGCCAGAAGAAAATGTATATGCTAGATAACACTGTAAGTGAATAGTCACGTCTGTGGTAGAATATAAACTAAAACAAACATGGTGTAGTTCAGATAAATTGGCGTTACAGATAATTACGAAATTGAACTAGTTGTACAGGTAATTATCCATTTCAGGGAAAATGTATTATATAGAACTGGTTGATGCAGGTCAAGCCATAAGTGGCTTGACAGTAGGAGTAATTATGCCTTAAATGTAATTCACTTAAATGATACTTAAACAAGTGGTGGTAATGGTCGGAGGCACTGACGGGGGAGCTGCTGCAGAAGGTTATGCCGTTCACCCTACAGCCTGAAGTGGCCTCACAGCGGAAGTGCCATAGTTCCTCCGCCTGGCACCCTCCACTCTCACACGCCTCTGTAAGACATGACCTCTTGTCACAATATACTCAAACTTATTATTAACCTGTCGTGCCTATTATTTCACAACCTGTCGTGCCAACGATTGAAACAATCCCTCGTTCTCGCGTCTATCACGTTACCCCGGAAGCATTCTACGTTGTGTATATTACAAAACGCAGCATTAAGGGCTCACCGGCACCAGACTTGGGACCCTCCTTCCTCTGGTGGGCGTAGTCAGTGTAGGCGTGGAGGAGGTGGAGGTTGACGCTGGAGGAGAGTTGTCGCTCCACCCACCCTAGACCTCTCAGGAGACCGCCCACCTCCACTCCACGTGCACCACCCACCTCCACCCCACGAGCTCCACCCACTTCCACCCTCTCCTCCTGCTGCTGCTGCTGCTGCAGGTCCTGTTGTAGACAAACTCTCGTCACTTAGATTTTAGATTCGGAAGATCTGTTTACAAACGATTTTGATTTAGAGATTATATTTTAAGCGATGTTTGATTTAGAGATTATATTTTAAGCGATGTTTGATTTAGAAGCTCTATTCGTAAGTGATTTTAGATTTAGAAGCTCATTCATAAGTGGTTTCAGATTTAGAAGCTCATTCGTAAGTAATTTTAGATTTATAAGACATATTCCTAAGTGATATTAAATTTAGAAGCTCTGTTCGTAAGTGATTTTAGATTTAGAAGCTCTATTTGTGAGTTTAGATTTAGAAGCTCTATTCGTGAGTTTAGATTTAGAAGCTGTATTCGTAAATTATATATATTTAAAAATCTAATTCTCAGTGATTTCAGATTTTTTAAACTTTATGAGTAAAATATGTTGCTTGAAATACAATATTATTTCAACTTAGATAATTGGTATACATAAGATTGTTCTAATTCTGAAGTTCTACTTGTAAACCGAGTAGTTGCTTCCAGCTTCTCGGTAAATATACACACTGATAATTTAATTTATTCCTGGACTATGATCAGGACTAAAGTATACTTGCTGGTTGGGCAGTAAGCTATTGTGGTGACCTTAACAACTCTCCAGAGGTTGATAAGCCTTTAGCCCAACACCTAACCAAAATTATATTGCTGACAATTACAGAGGTGACATATTGGCCAATAATTACAACCAATATGATACTATTTTTAATTATTAAGCGTATTGATTAACTGTTTACTCACATTCAAAATGGTTTGTTACTGAGCTTACGGCCTATCAAACGCTATGCGTATTTAATGACCTTATAATAATTGTTATAATGGTGTACTATAACACGTATACAATAAAATATGACTAATATGCATAATTAGTATTAATTTGCATGATTATTGTTTCTATAATTATTATATTTCAGAGTGATACATAGTCTTCCTGGCTCGGTGCCTTCTTTTGCTAATTACTTTTTATATGAGAATGATACGTACGTTTGTTCGAAGTTCACCGACATAGTATTTCCCCTCAAGATGCTTGTGTTGTCGTTGCGGCAACTGGTATTCCCGTTTTTTCTCATCTTTAGAAGAAAGAAAACGTTAACGACTAACTTAAGTACTTTGATAATATAAATTATTCCTCTTAAGTTAGATCGACAGTTTCTAGTATTACTGTCTATTTATATTGACGAATATTTTTAAGTGCTAAAAAAAGCGATTAATAATTTTGTGCCTTATTTTTTAAAGCTTTATTTGATTACGACAATTTTTTAATTTTACTCCTAAAGAGGGGCGGACTGAAGAACGGGTCAAGGCCATGGATTTGCTACACTTTGTTCAGCGACATTTGAAGAGATACAACCTAATCCATTATTGCAAGGAAACAGCCGAATCTCATTCAGTTTACACAAGGAGATGGCCAGAGTTTAACTAAGTCACGCACGAAGATACTGCAAATCTTGTCAGTCACCCTGAGAGGCAGATTTTAACTCACCCACAAAAATTAGAGTGATTATAATACAATTGCTTGGAATGCATATCTTGTGGTTGATGGATCTAACCTGCAAATAAACTACTGTTTTTCACCCCCTTCTAGTGATGTTATACCTTGCTCCCCTTATTGTTGTGAACAGTATGTGTTAGGTTTATCTTGTTCCCAAGACCAACGGCCAGCCTTCCCTAGGATGCAACCCAGAACAGTTGCCTAACTCCCAGATACCTATTTATTGCTATGTGGTTCACTAACATCAATCGAATCATGTTAGTGAACATGATTCATAGGACAGAGAGGAACACTGCAGTTACTGGCTCATACGGGGCAGGTGCCTACATATTACTCAAGATTCAAGCAAATTAATTTGGATTAAAATTTTAGTTAGTTTAACCCAAATTAGACGCATGTAAAGACCCTTCAATCCGCAAAAAATATATAAAAAATATTAATAAAATTAATGTACGTTGTCAAAATAGTAATCATATATATATATATATATATATATATATATATATATATATATATATATATATATATATATATATATATATATATATATATATATATATATATATATATATATATATATATATATATACATATATATATGTATATATATATATATATATATATATATATATATATATATATATATATATATATATATATATATATATATATATATATACTTCAGTCATAGCTGCAAAAAAGTAATATAAGCTAACTCACCAGAGGCGTTGAGTGTACGGTATTCATCATACATACTCCACTGAGTGGCCATGCAGCTGTCGTCCTGCGCTCACAGAAAACAGGAAATGAGAGAAAATGGGCATGATATTGAACGCTGAATATTGTGTTCAGTATTCCCAAAAAGCAAAGTAAACGTAATATTAGGATTGCGATTGTTAAAGGGGAAAGAGATTTGGAGAAAGGGAGAATTAAAAAAGATGACAGAGAAGTAAACACTTATTTTGATTAGTGGTAAATATGCAAGGAATGAGAAAGAGGTCTTGGTAGGATGAAACATAGAGAGATGGGAGGATAAGATAGAGGAGCGAGGGTGATATAGAGGGATGGGAAACGAGAGATGAGAGAGAGGGAAGACTCACCTTAGTCGAAGTGGCGGACTTCTGTGTAGTCTTGTCCATGGTGTAGCGCGGGGCGGTCTGGCAAGTCATTTCTCTAGCCCGAACACTCCCGCTCACACGTTTCTGGTGGACATGAAGCAGGTCAGTGGATACTGTAGGTGAGTAGAGGTCACAGCCAACAGACGTCATAGCCAATGAGGGTCACAGACAATAGAGGTGACATCCAGCAGAGATCTCAGCTAGTAGTCATACCTAGTAGAGCTCACTGCTAGCAGAGGTCACAGTCAGTAGAAATCACAGCCAGTAGGGACCACAACTAGCAAGGGTAACAACCAGTAGAGACCACACCTAGGAGAGGTTACAGTCAATAGAGGTCACACGTAGCAGAGGTCACAGCCAGTAGAAATTCCACTTAGTAGAAGTCACAACCAATAGACCAGAACGGCGAAGGTCACATCAATAAAGGTGACTATTCCTGTACCTTATCTCTGATGTTCAGTGTATTAATTCCTCGTTTCTGGCCGGTTTTGTGATTGCCCATAATCCCAGCCTCTCACAAATCTCACCTTTGTATTTTCCTATCCAATTTGTGCAGGTTATGCTTGTCTCTGTTCATCACTTCTCTCATAATGTGCCTGACTTTATTTTCCATCTCTTTCTGTGTTGCCTGTACCTATTGTTTGGCTTTCGCTGATATATTCTCATTCAATAAACCACTTCCTTTCACTTCCACATTATCTCCCTCTCCACCTGCACTTTCTGTTCCGTCGACCACCTCTGCGTTAAGAATATCTAATAAGCTTTAAGTGCACCAACATGTATGTTCAATACCCGTGGTCACCACCTACAACTACCACTACACAGACACTACCACCACAAACACACTAGCGCTACCAGCAGCAACTACCACCACCACCAGACGGACTCCACCACTACCTCTAACCACTACCAACATCCACTATCACCGGCCATTACAATCAGCCACTAGTATCACCACAATTAGCGCTCCTACACTCCTCTACTTTAGTTATTTGTAAACTATTGTCAGATACGTATATTGTACCTGACAATAGATACAGATACCTCGGGCCTGTTCCAAACTACACGCGGGCGGGGTTGAAGGTGTCCTACAGTGAGATAATTAAGTCTATCAACAGTTTTCAGAGTAAAGAAAATAAATAGGCTTCAATATTTATTAAAATAGCATAAAGACATTGAGAAATGAAAATATATTTTGATTGCTTTCACGAGACTCACTTTTTTCACAATGTTAAGCATGCATCCAGCCCAATTTTCCGGAAACGAAGCCAATGGGACAAATGAGGCCCGTGAGCAAATTCTCAAAATATACTAAAGATAGAATATATATACACGCTACAAATACAAAACAAGAAGACATTTAATGGTTCTATAACCAAGCAAGTACTGAAACTGATGATTAATGAAATCTTTGAACTAACGAACCTAAACCTACAAACTGTATTAGTGAATATCGTGAGGGACCACTTGAATACGGACCTAACAAAGCAAAACAGAATTTGTGAATGCCATGTTGTGAAGGCCATGCTAAGTTAATGGTGTATTGGACGATTCTCTTTAAATTCATCAGTTGAATACATAAAATTAGAAAGTAGTGAAGGGGAAACTTACTTTTATTTACATTATATTGAATATATGTCCTATATATATATTTCTTTCCAACCCATTTGGGTTTATATATTCTGAAGTAAATATTAACTGAACACTGGTATTTTTTAATGCCATATTTGACCTGCATATAATATTTGCTATGAAATTAAACCATTGTAGCCAAATTATTGCCCTGATCAACCTCCCTTTTTCCAATATCCTTTGAATTTATCACTACGCTCTTATCTATCATATCCCTCTCACTTATTTCAACCCAAGAACCCTTCCCTACCGCCACACACAATAACATAAGATTTTTACATCGATGTAAAGAAACATCAAGTTGAAGGCTTCATCCAATTCAACAACAGAGATAATAATATTAAGAATTAGGAACAATTTGATCGCTAATTAAATTGTATTAAATGTTAATAAAAAACTCTCTCTCTCTCTCTCTCTCTCTCTCTCTCTCTCTCTCTCTCTCTCTCTCTCTCTCTCTCTCTCTCTCTCTCTCTCTCTCTCTCTCTCTCTCTCATTCTCTATCTCTCACCACCTGTCTTCCTCTCTCGCTTTGCCCGGTCGCAGGAGACTGCTCTAAGAAGAGGAAGCAGAACTCACTTGATGGTAGTGGTCCCACTCGCTAATGAAGAGGGCTGCCAGGTGGTCGTTCTCATGGACGGAGGTGTTCTCCTGGTAGTAGAGGTCCAGCGTCGCCGTCTCCTGCAGCTGTACCCGGAACTCTGACGACGTCTCCCCGGCCCTCATTGTGATCTCATTGCATGGGCTGGGAGAAAGGATGGTGAGAGAGAGGAGAAGGAAGGGAGATAAAGAAGGGCTGAGGGAAATGGCGAACAGGGGTGATATGAGGAAAAGAAAAAGAAGAGGGAGTCTAAGAAGAATGGAAGAGGAGGAGAAGGAGCAGGAGAAGAAGCAGGAGGAAGAGGAGGAGCTCCTGCTGTGCTGTTGACGTCTGGCCTTTCCACACTGGGACCCCGGGGAGGAGGCGTTGTGCTGGTCAACTACTCCACGCCTCGAGCACACCAGGAGGCTGCAGCTCGCTCCTGTGTTGAATAATACATTTAGATAGAAACATTCACTAGCCAGAAGGAAACTTCCTACAATTATTGGCAAGAAAATGCATTTAAATATCGTTTAATCATCACATCTGAAATTAGCCAATAAAGCATTTGTATAGTCAAAAATAATACACAAACTAGCTTGTATCTCGAGACATTCCTCCAAAACATTCCGGGTTCGACTGCCAGTCCACTACACACAAGGAGCAACTTTCTTTATCTAAATTGAGCAGCAGTTAATTAGAACCTGCATCATTTTCCGCCTAAATTATATTAAACATGGCTCAGTTTATGTTGCTGCTGTTATTCTGTTAGTATGTTCCTTTGGGGGGGGGGGATGATACTAGAACCATCATTTTCCAGCTGAGATTAGTTTTTTAGCAGTCATCAGATATTCCTCAGAGTTCTAACACACACACACACACACACACACACACACACACACACACACACACACACACACACACACACACACACACACACACACACACACACACACCGTTCAAACACCACAGCCTCGATGTTCGTGACGAGAAAATATAAACAATCTGAATGTAACATAAAACAAGATGCAGTTCTGATTGTGTCTGACCAGAAAATGGAGACATATTACATTTATGTTCCCCCGTACTCAGTGTCACTCTCTCTCTCTCTCTCTCTCTACCTCTACACTACTCTCTCTTCCTCTCTTCCATCTTCTATTCCCTCCTCTGTCACACTCTTCGCTTCCTCTCTTTTATTATTCCACCTTCTCTCTCTACCACTCTTTCTTTCTCACTTCTACTCTCTCTTTCTCACTTCCAGTACTTTTTCTCTTTTACTAGCTTTCTCTCTTCTACTTTCTCTTTCTCTCTCTTAATCTCTCTTTCTCTCTTAATCTCTCTCTCTCTTAATCTCTCTTTCTCTCTCTTAATCTCTCTTCCTGTCTCTTAATCTCTCTTCCACTCTATTTTCCTCTTTCATTATATTATTATTTTACTCTATTTCTCGATGAAAGTATTATTTTCACTCTGCCATACTCTCAGAATTTCTCCTGCCACTCTCTCATTTATCACCCATTCCTCTCTGTAAACTCTCTTGTGTCTGTGTCAACCCATTTGTGTCTATCTATTTCTCCCTTTTTATTTCGACCATAATATATCCCCCTTTTCTATTTCACACGCTCTCTTACTTTTTATCTGCCACTTTCTCTTCATCTCTGATGCTTCTTTAATGTTATCTTTCATCGCAAATTAAATGTATTTATATCTATGTTATCTCCTATATTATTTCATACTTCTAACTCTTCTTCTTTACTCATCACACCTTCAGTGATTGCACTCAGTTTATTCCAGCTTTTTTGTTACCAACGCCATCTATCTTGATCACCACAAACCACCCTACATCTAATCCATTCTAGCACATGTTTCCCACGCACTCTAGCTCTCTGTCTCCTCTCACTTTCCATCACTCCACATCTCAGCCATACTCAACCTTCAAATCTCTCTCTTAGAGCGCCCAGAAGAAGTCTACGAGATAAGACACGGTGATCTGAATAACAAACATTCAGGAGGGACTTATTGAACCCTTTACGAGCGCTCTCAGAGCCACCATGGTGGCTCTGAGAGTCTCGAAATATCAGCGTACTGTGGCTCCGTGAGTTTGCCAGAGGCGGTCACAGTGACGTCTGAATATAGAGGCTCCGAGCGTCTACCAGACACGGTCGTACTGGAAATCTGCACGTCGATTATCCCGGAGCTCTGAGCTCCTTGAGCCATAAGAACCTTCCACCTTTACTGCTTCAAGGACCTTATCCCACACTTTACTCTGTTGACGCCCCCAATTCCCAGCAGATCCGCGTGTATTAACACCGGAATCTCTGCCCGCCTGTGTCGAGGCTCTCATTCACATCGTTTAATGCCTGTCAGTTTTCTCCTTGATCCGGACAGCGCCCGTTTAACAGCCTCTTTCATGTCGTAATTAGAATTCGATCGCGACGAGACTTTAAATCGGCCGATGAAAAAAGGCATCATCTATGCGTGTTGATCCTATCGCGAATGAGGATATATCGTTTGTGATGGTATCGTAATTCATGGTATCCTGGGTGGTGATATCGCGGTTGATTGTATCGTTGTGGACGTATTGTGATTGATGATATTGTTGGAAATGGTGTCGTGAGGGAGGATATCTTTGACAATGGTACCGTGTGCGAGGATATCGTTTGTAATGGTATCATGAACGATGATGTCGTTTGTTATGTTATCGTGAGATATATCGTTAATAAGCATATCTTCAGGTTATCTTGAGAAGATTTCGTGGCTTTGCGTCCCCGCGGCCCGGTCCTCAACCAGGACTTCTTCTGTTACACACACCCCCCAGGAAGCAGCCGCGTAGCAGCTGTCCAACTCCAAGGTCCCTATTTTAGCTAGGTAACAGGGGCATCAAG